GCCACTGAGTACAACGCAAGAACGACCTCGAATGTTTAGATCAATTTCCAGCTATGAATGATTGCAGCAAGGTAGTAAAAACATACGCAATAAGTGTACTTGGCAGACATATTGGATGTTTCTGAAAGCCATTACGGAGACTCGATCGGGGATTACAACACTTCATTCACTCATTTCATACTGAATGAATATCAACTCAGAACAGACAGTATGTGGCTGGCTACGCGTGCTGTACCGATTAATATCTTTGTCTACTCGCTCTAAGAGGAGATAACAAAGCAAGAGCTCATGTCCATTAGCCTTTGTGAGTGCTGACCTCATCATATCCACGTTGAGTTGAATCACAAGGCGAAAATGTTCACTCCTATAATTCTTTTTATGTAGACCACCGTAAGGAGACTCGATCAAATCTCTGAACGTCAACCATTGAGAAATATGAAAACAAGCAACTTAGAATGAAAAAAAAAAAGAAAAAAAGAACTGAAGCAGGGAGCTGACATGCTAACTACAACACCAGGATTGTATATTTCGTCTAATAGTTTTTAAGAGCACTTAGGATCGAGTCATACACTCTTCGGGAGAGAAAAATCATAAGCAGAAAAATACAGAAAAAACTAGACGTACAAAAATAATATGTTTACTAAGCTGAGATAAACAACAATATACATCCCGACTAAAGTGTCCTAAAGAAACACAAACAAGCAAACAAACAAACACGCGTAGACAGTTGTGTTCAAGGAGCGAGGGATCGGGAAAGATATTTGTTTCTATAGCGGCACATTCAAATAAGATGCTCGTCTCCTAACTTCCCTCTCCATCGTCAGCTCCTGCCACCCTGTCACCCCCAAACACTTGCAAGAACACTACCCTTAGCTTTTTACGCAGAAATAAACCTAGCAGTAAAAGCAACTTGCGAAGCTACAATTCTGTCGATTCGGGTCCGTGGGTGTGTGTTTAGTCGCTCCTAGAAAAAAACAAAAAAACAAAACAAAAAATGGGCACTTTTGAGTATGCCAAAAGATAGGTGGCTATTTCATGTCCACAATTCGGATGCATTATATTCTTCATAAAATAAAAATCTATATATATATATATAAATTACCACACGAAAATAGTTTCAACAAATATTGTACCTGTCGATAGACCATCTAGTCAACTGGTGGTGTGCAGTATGTAGTAAGCAAGGTTTGTGATGAATCCTAATATGGCTCCAGATATGTCACGAAAACGTCAAAGGTACGATGTTTAGCATTTTTTATTTCTGGCATGTATTGCAGTCATGTTTCCTTAGTATGTAGCTCGGTAATATAGATACCCCGCTAGATGGACATCATTTTCGGGGACAAACTGGGCAAATAGATGAATTTCGGTCACGTTAATATGCACAGCTCACATTTTGGACAATATTTTGGGAGAACGAAGGCGTCCCTATTAATGAGACATCACTTATACCAAAAAACGTTTAACTTAAACTAAAGATAGTCCGCGCATTATACTTTCATATAAATAAATATATATTTATACTTTTTGTTTACTCATTTATACCTCTGACACAACTGGGTGCAAAAATCAAGCAGCCGAAGTGTAGCATTTCAGCTTGCTCTTTTTAAAACAAATTGTAAAAGGAAATTATATAAATATTTTTTTTAGTTTTGAAGAACTGTTTTGTTCATTGCGGAAGTAGGGTGACTACATATATTTTTTGAGGCAAATCAAAATACCCACCCCGACACGCGTGTTCGATTTAAAATTAAATCATCCTATAAGTAAAAACGAATTGGTGTCATGGAACCTATCTAAACCACTAACAAACTAAATTTCAAGTAGATCGTTCACTCAAGCGATGAATCGAAGCAAAGTATATTCCTTTGCACCGCATCAGTTAAACACCGTTACCTAATACGTTCAAGTCACTTGCATCAGTATTATTACAATTGAATATTTAGCTACTTATCAGAATATTAATTTGTTCTATACTTTACTTGCTATGGGGACAGAGAAATTCGCATGGAAAGAGCTTGCACGTTGATGTATACACCCAAAGATGGCTAATTTAAACTAGTAGAGAAAGCAAGATAACTATCGTCGGTGACAGGTCAAGAACGGAGAGTAGGCTCCTCCCACCCCTTTCCAGTTTAGCAGAACCAACGCTGGAGAGGAGGCGACCTCCTTCCAGCCTTCTCCCTGCTAAAGTGGAAAGAGGTGGGAGGAGCCTCCACTAGGCTGTCGGCTTGTCACCGACTATGAGCGTTTCATTAGGTTGCAAAGATCCGAACGGCTTTGTATGTGAGACCTGACGATATTCAGTGTTAGAATATATATGGTCATTATGATATAATACTAATCTTTCTGTCAATTGGGTACCACATATCAATGCAGGGATTTATAACGTTTTGATTCAGGGATGTGTAATATTTGGTGCTGGGAGGCAGGGTGTGTAAAAGGCATATCGAAAAATAGAACACCATAAGCAAAGCGAGGAGGTGTACTTTCGCGACATGGAAGCCGACGGCGTTTTAGACTTGACAGCGGACTTTTGCGTAATTCGTTACAACTTACGCGCTATTCGAACCTAGCAACCATTTTCGTTAAAAAAGAAACGACCTAGTTATTTTTACAAAAAGAAACGAGTCACGTATTGTCGTCATTTTTTGTACGAACCAACGCGAGAACGGTATTCAGTTACATCTGGTGGGGAGCGTGCACAACACAAGTACCGATCCTAGTTCTCGCCGTAGATCACATTTGCAATTTGCAGAACGAAACAACGATAAATATAGCATACAAATGTGCACAATGTATGTCGCATAGCCACAGTTTTTCCAGGCTGAAGCAGGTAAAACGCATTGATTCGTTAACGACGACCAATATCCGAGGCGGCTACAGCTTCATCAAAGTGACACCTTCGAAGTAACGGGAGAATAACCCGTTATGTTCGAGCTTAGTCGACACGTTCCTTTTAGATCTGAGTAAGGAGACACGTAGTTAGTTACTTTTTAAAGAAGTAAGAAGTGACGGTGATTACTTGCTTCGTTTCAGTAACGTGTACATATCTGCCGGAGAGCCGTGTACACTCATTATGAAACGACTCTATTTCGCTGTGCATCGCACGCGAACAAGACATTAGCACGGATGTTGAAAAACAACGACACAAATGATTCCCTCCAGCTACAAATTGCGCAGGGATGTTGTGGAACTCGGTCAGCACTTTCTCGGGAACCTCTGACGCACGCGCTTCGCGACCGGCACCGACTTGCCCAAGGCAACGAAACACTCGGGGGGAAACTTCGGTCTCCCCAGAGGGGGGAAAATGTCGGCGCTCTTCTATTGTCCCAGCCGTCGCGGCGAAAGTCAACAAACTGGTGCGTGAAGTATGCGGCCGGGCCTATTCGGCCAACGACGCATTCAGATGCGTCCCTCCGCGACTAATCTCAGAATAGTCATTAACCGCGAGTGATCCAAGCCGAGATTCCACGTTGGATTCAAAATGAAGACATCCAACTCGGAACTCGGTGGGGGGGATTAGTGTGTACTGGGCTGCGATTGTGTCGTCATACTGGCACGTTCTGAGTCGTATAACGACCGCCTGAACGAGAGGCCAAGGTATTAGCACGAGTGACGACACATTTGCGCAAGGTCAGGGACGCTATCAAGGCCAGCGTCTTCAAGAACGGCATAAACAAACGCGTAGCACGGGTCGCGCAACAATACGGCTGTAGACTTCGGGCCTTCTTATGTTCAATAAAATTTTCTCCTCCTCCTCCTCCTCGGGCTACAAATTTCAGCATCGAACAATGCGCTGGCTGCGTTTACTTCACTGTTCTGGATTCAAGGCTTTTCTAAACGTGCGACGCAAGAAAAACTGGAATACCCGATTAATTCCTGCCTGGCCACGGGGATACTAATAGAACTGCAAATATTTCCAGATCGCAATAGTAATAAGTAGAATCCCGACAGCCAGCTGTTCTTCAAAATATCTCGACTGCTGCCTCGTTAGATCCCTGTATGACAGTGTTCTTTTCACGTAGGTTTTGCACAATATACCACGATTGTCAGTGTATAATTATTACTGACATCCAACCTAACAGAGCGACATAGAGAAGCTCTGATTTCTTATATATAAGTGCGGAAGGTGGCTAACCTATTTTTTATACCTACCATTACGTAAGCATATTGAAGCCAGTGTTAACAATATTGAATTAATGCTAAAATAACAAGGAAGGAGCTAGCTAGACCGACGACAAAATAAATAATTGCACTTCTGCTATGTAGGCACCAATATTTCTACCAATATGTAAAAATATGGTATGTTTTCCTGTTTATTGGTCACACATTTTGCATTATTTCTCGAAGAATACCGGGGATGTAATGGAATCTCCATTCATTACCAGGAACACATGGCGCCTTTTAGATTCCACTAAGAACATTCACATTGTTGCTCCATCAGTGCATACATGTAGAGAACATCCATGTTGGAATGCTAACAATCACAACTCCAATGGGAACCAGACAGTTTTGAATAGTTTAATTCAAAAAGATTAAATGGGCCGAAAATACTCCGTTTCACAGATAGTATACAAGACTGTCAATGCTACGGCGCCAGCCATTGGCTTAATCGAGTATTTTGCTTGCACCCGCTCTTGCTCAAATGAAACGCTTCATGACATACAGCACGCGTGCAGCTGCCTTAAAGGTTTTGTACTTCAAAGGTTTTGTACTTGAAAGGTTGCGTACATAGGCGCGCAACAACGCCCATATTCGAGTACATTGCTTTAGACCTGGAGAGACCAAAGCATATCGGAAACGACTTCAGTTCAGCTATGCAATGTTCGTTTAGCGCGCGGAAAGAAGTCACCAGCTGATACGTGGTATTATTCAAAACATGCTTCCTGGTAATAATGAAAGTAAAAAGAAAATAATAAACGCAAAAAGTACACACATGGTGGCTGACAGCATCGCGGGCGGCAAGCACGCGCCAGAGGACAACTCGAGCCACTCACCTGTCTCGGAGGAAGCGCTTCTTGTCGCCAATGCTGGCCGGAGGAGCGGCAAAGCGAGTTTTTATCGCGCGGGTGAGGGGGAAGCGGGGGAGAGGCGGCAGGAAACGGCTCGGAAGGGCGAGGAGGAAACAAGGGAACCCCGTCGAGATTAGCCCGGGGAGGCGGGGGGTAGCCGGCCTGGAAGGTCGACTCTTACTTTCTGGCCCTTCCTCGTGGTCGGACGTGGTTGCCTGGCCGTCCCGTGCTCGTCGGAGAGCTCGCTTAGTCAACTTCGTTGTTTCCCTCCAATTCCTCGACAAAGGTCTCGCTCGGAACGAGCGCTTGTGCTGGTCGGCAACCGGGAAAATCCGAAGTCCTCCTCCCCCTCCTTCTCCGTCACCTCGGTCTACGCTTCTGGTATCCTTCCACCCTTTCCTACCTTGGCGGGCGTTTCCAGCGATGGAATGGAGTGTGGTGGAAAAGACGTCACGTCTTACGCCGCGTCAGAGCACGGACCGGCCGACGGACAGAGACGTCGGTGGTTCCAGCATTTGGGCCGGGGAAGAAACCGCAAGCAGCGGTTTTGGTTTCACGCCAAATTAAGGTTTTGTGAAGAGTTTCTCATTTAAGTCTTTGATCATAGCCGCGGTATCATAAACTAAGCGCAGTTACACTAGATGCACTAAATTAAACCAAAGAAGCATAACAACCAGCACTTTAGTTACTCTTAACACTTAGATAATGAGTGCTTTTCTGCTAATAGGAGTGGTGTCCAAAAGGCATCTGTAATATATTTCTTTTGGCCAACATTGAGAAAAAACTGATGCTCGCGGAACACGACGAATCACGGGGAACACTATAAGTTATTAATTCACAGAAATTGAAAGCATCTAACGAAATATAACTTAGGCGAAAACTTTGTTATGTCTTGAACTGTGAAGGGTCGCATTTTGCCGCATTTACTCTTTTTAACACCGCGGATTCTGCACGTGCTTTGAGAAAACAACTGGCGGTTTTGCTTGAGAACATAGGCGACAGGTGGCGGCACTCTGCGGAGCCATATCATTGCTGTCGAAGTCACGCGAAGAGAAAGGGGTTTGGCACTTCGTTCTACAACCATTAGTGCTGCAAGGAAGAGAGGCGTAGCTATGCAGCAAGTCTTGCCTTCCCTGCCTCGCGTCATCTGAAGGGGCATAACGTCTTTGCCGTCCGCTGGGGAAACGTCGCTGCACGTGCCATCGCACTATCTGCCCATTAGGTTCTTGTTTCTCGCAATCTTTGCAATTATTCATAGTATAGAAATTGTTCTCTTCACGACTCAAAAAAGTTTCCCTAATAATCCATTGCCCCTACCCATCGGGGCGCATCTTTTCTCTTGACCCGCGTCAGCTTTCTTTTCTTTGCTCCCAACAAACGGCCACATTTTGTACCGGAACTGGTAAGGTGGAATGTTATACCTTAAAAAAGAGGTTCATGCTTCATTTCTGGATTCACGGTAACCAGACCCGCCTACGCATAAAAAATTTTCAGGGAAAAAATGAGGGGACGTTGCAACTTGAAGGATGAGATGTTCATGAGTTCTACCACACCTCATATTGCCGTAACAAAAAAAGTTGAAGGTCCATGCTTCGTTATTTGAAGTCAAGAGTTGCAGGAATCAAATATTTCCAGCCCGCGCCTCTCCCTCTTTTAATTAGGCTGGAAAATGCGCTGCGCATCTTCGGAACCCGTTTTTTAAGATGATATCAACGCGTGTCACCAAATTCCAGCAGGTACATTTACGACTGAGCTGTAAATGAGAGAGATTGGTGGCCGAGTGGACCAGCCCACACCAGCTCGGAGCACGTGGAGCGGAAGCTCCAACTGCACAACACACGTATATTTGGCTCCATTCCCATCCCTTCCCGTTTCGGTCTACATGACCACCGTACCGTCGTGCGGTCACGTATCACTACTGCGCGGTGCACGTCAAGAGAGGTTTTACTGCACTGACTGAATGTATCATCGTCAGCTGAGACACCAGACGCCCACTGGGGCTGACTTACTTCCGGCTGTATAAACTTACACATAACATTACTATTATTGTTAGCTATAAGTGTATCCTAATGATTGTAATATGTTTACTGTGTCTGCTCTGCTTGTGCGCTGAGTTGTTCAGCTACCTGTCTTCAGTGGGGATATGTCGGACATTGTTATGAGCACGCAAGGAAGAAATAAACTTGGCAATGTGGCGTAGAGAGATCATTTTGTTTCGTTGGCATGTCAGAGATGTCTGACCTGGCGGCGTATTCTTTGAATTGGGCAGGGCAGCGGCGGTCAAAGAAGTAGTGAAGCGGTGGTTGTAATTGTGAAAGTCTGGAGAGTGCAACGTTTGTCGTATCAAAATATTTCTCGAAATAAATTTTTTTTTGTGCTTAAGAGGCGTGCTTAGTATGTTTTTATCGGTTTTCTTTGTGGTTTTTGCGATGAGAATCATTTAAGTATAACATTTTTTTCAATGCGGGTGTAAATCGCTTTTAATTGCAAAAATCTCGAGATGCTCTAATGCCTTTTCATTCGCGTTCTGACCTTTCAGTAAGTCGGCTAGAGTGTGTAATATATACTCGTGTGTATAATCCGACTACTGTGGCAAATAAAACGTGAGTATGAACAAAATACATACGCAAGTATAAACTGCGAATTTGCCTGTCCTGTACAAAAATGCAAGAAGTTTTGTTCTTTATAAATGAGGCCGTGGTACACTGATCCCTTTTAAATACAATTAGCTGACGATGGTGTTTAATTTCAAGACCTGGATAACTATTCTGAACGGTTGTTTCAGTTTAAAAAAAAATCTCGCGTCTGAGAGACTCGTGTTCAAACTCCTAGTACTGTTCTCTCTGTCTGGAAAATATTCCTGCCCCGTAAACAAGGAAGCGAAAAAGTGAGGATCAAATAAACATTTAGCGTATACTGGGCCTACAAATGAATTGCTTGTTTAGCAGACGAAGCGTGCATGCCCTCGGCTTCCCGTCTCAGCCGTGACACATTTCAGTGACCCTGCCGGGTTTCCACATCGCTGACGGCGTCCGGACGCCTGCTATGATGACGAAATCTAGTTCTCATATGGGAGATATTTCTTCGCAGGGGCACTGATAAACTGAAAAGAAAGATGATCTTCGCCTTTCCGCCGCTCCCATAGCTGATAGCCTGATGATACCGTTCCTTGGGTTTGAAAAGGGGCACGACACAAAAAATGGTCACATTGCTCCTCGGCTGAACTTTTTGGAGTCCAATTATAGTAAGCGTACCACGTTTGACTGTGCTAAGGAGTTAAAGTATTACGCGAAAGAATAATCAGGCTCATTATCTATCTTGGAGTTGAAGTAGAGGCGCAGTGTCTTCGGACGCATCACACGTCGGCACAGTGCATGAAGTACTCATACCATCGCATTGAGAACAAGAAGAAATTGCCTTTTGGCTAAGTGAACGTTGAAGGTTTCCTCCTTTTTTACACCACAGACCTACACAACAGCCCTCTACGTGCAGTAAATTTCACGGTCCGCAGATTCACCACTGCATCCAGAGTCTGGGAACGCACTGCACACGGCTTATGAGAGCTAAAGTAAGAAGCGGAGGCATTTTTTATCTAAACTTCGCTACTGTACCACGGCGGCGGCCGCGCGCAACAATACAAATCTCACACCATGGTCGGTTGGCATTACCACCCAACCATGATATGCGGCCACCACCGAAAAGCTTTTTTTAGTGAGCTTGATTTTTTAAATTAAAGCTAAGACAACGCAAACGTGAGTGGATTGGTCCGACTCGCAATTCGAACATCCTAATCTACCGGGTGTTTTATTAGGCTTAACAGAATTTTTTAAAAGATACCATGAAAGCTAGGTTAATGCGGTCTGCGCAGGTGAGTTATGCGGCCAGGGAGACATAGTATAGGGGGCTAATCGTAAAAATCAGTCGGATAATTAGTTAAAATTCGTTAATTAACTTTTTAATTAATGAGAATAGACATATAGTTCCAATTAGAAACTTGCTCAGCGTCATCGAGAACCACTAAATCAGAAATTTTCAGAAAGACATTGAGCACGTGAGAAGCGCAGTAGTACACTAAAGTTACCGCTCGCAGAGCAGGTACAAGGCTGGGGCGAGATAAGAGACGGAACAATTGCGCGGGCGCCTTATCGCAAACGCTAGCTTAGTACGTGCTCCACGAGTGCTAACTTTAGTGCACTACTACGCTTCTCACGCGCTCAAAGTCTTTCTGAAAATGACTGATTTAGGGGCTTTCGATGATGCCCAGCAAGTTTCTAATTGAAACTATATGTCTATTTTCATTAATTAAAAATTTAATTAACGAATTTTAACTAATTAGCAGACTTATTGTTACCATTAGTCTTTTATATTATGTCCCCCTGGCCGTTATAACTCACCTGCGCAGACCGCATTATACTTGCTTTCATGGTTTTTGAAAAAAAAAAAAAAAATTCTGTTAAGCTTAAAAAAAACAAAAACAAAAACAGCCTGTATATCAATCAGAACAGAGTAAACAACTTTTGGGTACGGGACATCGCGTAAGTATTATTGTCGCTTGCATGACCGAGATAGAACACTTCTGTGTACTTGAAGGTTCGAGTTACTCTTACCACTGGTGTAAAATATAAGGAGGCTAATGTCACCTTGCCGAGTCAGCCTCGCCCTAGCTCCCACCCGAACATTCTAGGTCGAATTAACGAGGGCAGCCGAGCCGATCGCGAAGCTTCGGGACCCGCTCAGCTGCTGAGTTAAAGTGCGTCTTCGATAAAGTTGACGATGCTTTCGTTGGGGCCTTAAAGGGGTCCTGCAAGGACCTTTTTACTGGTTTTTAATTTGGACCGAGCCTGAGCGCACTGAACGCCGTAACTCAGTGGAACTTTTCTTTTCTCGAAAATCCCTTTACTTTGAAAGTTATAGGCAAATTAATATTACAAAAACAAGCAAAAATAACCTTCTTCATGGCGTCCTTGGTTGTTTGAGAGTGGCCGTGAACTAGTGGAGGGGTAGTGAGCTTATCCAGCTTTCACGGCTGCCGCACTCCGTGTCGACTGCGCGAGGGGGCGCCACTAAAGCATGTTCTGGATAATGGCTGTATGCCGCGGGCAGGCAGAGAGGGTCTCATTTTGTTTGCTGCGCGATTAAATACTAATTCGGCATGACACTTTATCGGCAACGAACGACAGCAAACACGGGGTAAAGGTCAGTTCAGAACGGGAGCCACTTTGCGCGGCCATACCGCGAAACGGCCAAACCGGAAGACAAAGCTTCTCGCTGAAGGCCTTCGGAACACTCGGAGCCGGTCGGATCCTCCTGTCCATACGACCGCAGCGCCGCCGCGTACATCCGGGACTTTTCCGTGTCGGCGCAAGATCCCA